CTGGAAATAAGAAAACATACTTTTGTCAATGTAGAATTGTAACATCACACACCACATTTTTCTCTCTTAAGACCACTGCTTCAAAAGGCTAAGAGTTTGAAGCAGGTAGCAAAGATTTGGGGACATGGGCTACACTTGGCCCATAGATGCTAGATGCTTTTATTTGGTCTGTAAGTAGATTAAAAAAAATTAAGTACTGCGGGGTGTGATGGCGCACACCTTTAATCCCAGCACTTGGGAGGCAGACGTAGGTGGATCTCTGTGAGTTCCAGGCCCGCTGGGGCTACAGGGAAAACCTATCTCAAAAAGACACCCCCCCCCACAAAAAAGAAAAAAAAAATTAACTATCAACATTTAAGTCAGGATATTTCTAACAAAACCGGTATCTCTAGCTTTCCCAAAGAGATGGGCAACTCCCCTTTAGATGGCTGTTTCTTTCCTTCAGGCCCACTAGCCACTCTCAGTCCTGGATTTACCCACCCAGCTTTGGACTTCATGACCTTGATTTAAAATATTCAAAAGGTTGGCTTGAGAATAATTGTTAATACATTCAGCCCATTTTCTGACACATCTCTAAGTAACCACACTTAATAGAGAGAAGTAATGTATTACAACTAAGCTGACTCATTAGATTAAGAAATAGCAAATTATACTTACTACGTTCTGCTTTGTCTTTTTTGAACTGATAGTAAATCTCTGTGATGCAATTTAACAGGACTTGTAGTTTTTCTACACTATTTAAGGAAGAAAACCCCAAGTAAATTAGTGGAATTGATGTGACAAAGGACAATTCGTAAGAGCAGAAATGACCTACAAGACTATCACCTACTTTCTGTGTCTTGGATGAGTGCCTTCCTGATGTGCCCAGGTATCGGCCAGCAGTCCACCTGGAGATAAGCTGCTGTCGATGTCCTGAAGACCACTCTCTATGGTACCCTGAGAACCAGAAAGCTAAACAAAGGGAACAGGTCTAGATCAGACTATCCAACTCACAGACAATCATCACAAGGCCAAATGGGCCTACAGTCTAGATCACATTTCTCTGTAGAAGACTTCAAGGCAGACTACTTATTTCTACCTTTGGATACAAGAGCAGTTTCTTAGGTTCTTTCACAAATAACAACATAATAAAACACAAGACTAACCAGTATTAAAACATTGTATAAAACACTTCATACAAAAAATTAAACTCTTCCCTTTTTTGTGATGGCAGAGATCAAACCCAGGATATCACAGCCACTAGTAAAAAAAAAAAAATATATATATATATATATATATATATATATATATATGAATGAGCTAAGTGTGGTAGCACATGCCTTTAGTGCCAGCATTTGAGAAGCAGAGGCAGGTAGATCTCTATGAGGCCAGCCTGGTCTACAGGGAGACCCTGTCTCCAAACCAAACCAAACCCAAACCAGGGCTGGTGAGATGGCTCAGTGGGTAAAGGCCTCCAAGCCTGACAACCTGAGTTCAACCATTGGGGCTAACACAGAAGGAGAGAAACAACTCCTACACAGAATGTGTGTGTGTGTGTGGTGTGTATACAAACACACGAAATAAATGTAATTGAAAAACAAACAAACAGCCAGGTGTGGGGGAGCACACCTTTAATCATAGCACTTGGGAGGCAGAGGCAGACAGATCTCTGTGAGATCAATGACAGCCTGGTCTACATAGCAAGTTCCAAGCCAGCAGGGGTTATAGGGAGACCCGGTCTCAAAAAGACCAAACATCCCTCTAAAAAACCCCCACATTTATACAACATTTTAATCATTCAATTAATTTTTTCTGTCTCAAAACAAAACAATAAAACGAAACCCCTAACAAAATCCACAGCCATGCTACAAATCTATAATCTGAGCACCTGGGAAGCAGAGGCAAATGGACTCAAAATTGAAGGTCTGCTTGGTTGTATAGCAAGTTCAAGGCTATTCACACTACTGAGACCCTGCCTCAAAAAACCAAGGGCTTATGAACATAGCTCAGTGGTAGGTTCGATGATAGAGTGCTTGCCTAGCATGTGGAAGGTCCAGGGCTGATCCCCAGCACTGCAAAACAAACAAAACCTAATTAATGCCAGGCATGGTAGCACATGCCTTTAATGCCAGCAGCACAGGGTCTGAGTAGGAGGATGGCAAATTCATAGTGAGACTCCCTCTCAAAACAACAAACTAAAAACTGCACGTGCAGAGTACCAATCACAGAGCGCTAAGTATAAAAGTGTAGAAGTAGTGGCCAATAGCAGTATGAGAATCATCTGGAGGCCCGTCAAAAGAGTCTCCCTGTCATCCATTTCTAACTCAGTGGGCCCCAACTCTGCATTGCTAGTTCCCTGGTCCTGCTGTTCAGACCCCAACCACTCTAAGCAGCACTGCTACAGGCTGAAAACACCTTTTAATTATTATTTTTGGGTGGTAGGCATATCTGCTATTTTTTAGTTTATAATCTAGTATTCTAAATCAACAAAACAATTTTAAGGTCTCCATTAGGAAAGGAGTCACAACTCAACAATGTATGAGGAAACACAATGCCATCTTGTGAAAGCAGGCTTTTAAAGAAGCCTCAATGTTCTAAGCTACTGTCATTAAGTCAATTTTAATCATTTATGCTTTCTCATAGAGAATCCAAATCTCACAAACCATGGGTTTAAAAAAAAACCCTCAACTTTTTTTAAGCATAATTTTGATTGAGAGTGGTTAATAGACACTGGTACTGAAAAGAAGTGTATAGTAAGCTTAAGAGCTGGAAAGTCAGGTTCTATGCCAAAAACCGGGAATGCATACAACCCTTTGTAACGACATGACTACTTACACAGAGATGCAGCAAATATAGGGGACTCTTTGTCAAACTTTTTTCAAATAGGGTCTCACGTATCCCAGGCTAGTCTCAAACTTTTTGCTATGTAGCCAAGGATGGTCTTGAACTTCTGAACTTTCTGACTCTTCATCCCAGATGCTGAGATTACAGATGTGTGTCACCTGATTTATGTGGTGCTGGGGGCTGAACCCAGGGCTTCATGTATCCAAGGCAAGCACTCTATCTACTACCTGAGCTACAACCCTTGCCCTTGCTTCTGACTTTTTTTTGGGTCTTTTTAAGACAGGCTCTCACTGTAGCCCCAGCTGCCCTGGAACTCACTATGTAGACCAGGCTGGCCTTGAACTTCACAGAGATGCTTCTTTTAAATCGCTTTATTTCATAAGAATATTTTCCAATTAAAAACAAATCTTCACTCAGGAAATGCACTTTAAACCAGTATCATTTAAAGTCGATAAACAACTAAAGTAAACGTTTCATGGGGCAGTGATTTCCCAATGTGATGCATTCTGACATTTTCTATCCTGTTTAAAAACATTGCCAACTGCAATGCACTAACCCTCACTACCTATTACTTGCTCCTGCCTCACATTTTGAAAACCACTGTTCTAGATCTAAAACCAAAGAAAAGAACAACTGAAGATCAGCCAAATCTGGAAAAAGAAAAGCAAGATGAAATCAAGTTCCTTTTGTGTCTAGTTTGTACACACATGAACGTGTAGGCCAGAGAAAAACCCTGGGTGTCCTTTCTCTGGCCCCATCTACCTTTCTTTGAGTTTTTCACATGGCCCAGAACTTGCCAAATAGGTTACGCTGGCTGGCCAGTGAGTCTCAGGGACCTCCCTCCTCAGTACTGGGATTATAAGTATGTATCATGACATGGGTTTTGTGGGGGCTGAACTCAGGTCCTATCAACCAAGCTATCCTCCCAGCCCCTCAAAGTTCCTTTATATTCTCTTTAAGATCTTTAAAATTACTTTCTCTCTCTTTCTCTGTGTGTGTTGGGTATATGTGTCCCAACCTATGAGTAGAGGTCAGAGGACAACCTGCACGTGGGTTTTGGGGGCTGAAATTAGGTCTTATCAAGCTATCCTCTCAGCCCCTGAAAGTTACTTTATGTTATCTTTAAGATTATTTAAATTAGCCGGGCATGGTAGCACATGCCTTTAGTCCCAGGCCAGTTGGAGCCACGAGGAGACCCTGTCTCAAAACAACAACAACAAAAAAAAAGAAAAGATTTTTAAAATTACGTTTTGTGTTGTGTGTGAGTCAGAGAGAGAGAGAGAGAGAGAGAGAGAGAGAGAGAGAGACAGACAGACAGTGTTTTGGGTGTATGTACTGCAGCCAATGTGTAGAGGTCAGAGGACAACCTGAGGGATGTTCTCTTTCTACCATGTGGGTCCTGGGGATTGAACTCTGGTTGTTGCCATGACCTACTGAGTCATCTTGACATCCCTCCCTTGCACTCTTAATTTAACATCCATTTTATGAATACCTTAAATATGGGCTTGGTGGAACACAGTATTTCTATCTACCTTCATGTAACTGCAATGACAACCAGGAGATGAAATTGCCAATTTTTGAGAATAGGAAACCAAAGATGCAAAGAATAGGCAGGCCTGAGGGTAATCAGTTCTCACAACCCATAATTCTGTGGACTTTGGTTCTAAGTGATTCAGACACTTTCTATTGTGTTTTCAGCAGACTTGAGTTCTTTTCTAGTTACAGAAATAATTCATTGCCTGAGAATTTCAAATCTTTTTATTTTGGAAAAGTTCTCATATTTTCTAATTTACATTTATTTTTAAGCAAATTCAAGAATCCTGTTTGACTGCATGTTAAATTATTACATTTATGAACTTGCTTTAGTTGCCACAGGAGCAACAAAAAAGCATTATGAATTTTAAAAATGTGGGGTGGGAGTAGGAGAGACAGATTAATACGTGTGTCTAAAATACAGAAAACCTAAGCCAGGTGTGGTGGTGCACACCTTTATTTCCAGTACAGGCAGAGGCAGGTGGATCCCTATGAGTTGGAGGTCAGGCCGGCCTACACAGCAGTTCCAGGCCAGCCAAGGATACATAGTGAGAACCTGCCTCTAAACAAACAAACAAACAAACAAAACCAAAACAAAATTATGGGAAGTATTTGGAAATAGTAAGAAGTTCATGGCAATAAGGGAATTTAAATACTGTTAAGAAGTCTCTAAGAACGGGGAAAGACTATGCTTTTCTCTGAAATGTTTAGACGTACCACTGCTCTAAGATACTTACATTTACTCTTGTCAGCAAGTAGATTTTGATCTTATACTTCTTATACTCATAATTTTGCAAATACTTACTCTCAACAATTTGGTATGTATGTCTGAAATTTCACCTAATTCTGCTGCTTCTAGGTTGACCTTCATTACTTTTTCATATCTGTATGAAAAATAAATCAGAAAATAACATGAATGTAACAAATATAGATTTTTAAAGATGGCTTTTAAATTGAGTTTTATCATCACAACCACTTAATAAAAGTTGCATTCAAAGTCTGTAAGCTGGCAGATTCCAAGAGACCTTTGATGCCTTCTTGAAAAATTTTGTAAAGGAAGTCCCCCTCTATCAATGGTTTTGGTTTCATGTGACATCAGGTACTGGTGGTCAATTGTGGTCTGGGACCATCACAATGACAAGTCTACAAGTATTTTCTAAGTGTTAAGTTTCATGCCACTCTGAGTAGTATGATGAAGTCACATGCCATTTATTCCTTCTAGCCAGGACATGCACTGTCCCTTTGTTCTATGGATCCACACTGTATATGCTAACCACTTAAGAGTTGCTTAGTAGTGATTTCAGTCAAAAGATGGACTGCCATGGTACTGTGGAGCTTAAATATAGAGGCTGGTACCATCTGAGGCTTCCAGTGGGTGTCTTGGAATGTGCTCCAAGGTTTGGGGGTAAATACTGTACTTCTATTACAAATGTGCAGATGAGGATAAAGTAGAGAAGGCAAGGAAAATAGTAAAATTACTAATTTCAGAATTAACAGGAGTCAATAGTAAATACTGATTGCAGTTTTATTTCCTCTGCAGTACAAATAGTATATCCTAGAAAGAAGGCTGTTTAAATTATCATTCTATTTCAAAAGACATTCTTAGATATAAGATTAATAAGAGTAAATTCATTACTAAAAGAATTTTAAAAATTTACTTATTATTATTGTTTGTGTGTGCATGATGTGGGGAGGATGTATGTGTCATGGTGTGCGTGTGGGGTTAGAGACAATTTTGTGGAGTCTGCTCTCTCTGTCCACCTTTTATGAAGGTTCTGGGTTGGTTGCCATTGAACTTGGTTACCAGTCATGTGCAGCAAACACCTTTACCTGTTGAGCCATCTCAGTGGTCCTCCAAAAATCGTTCCTAAAATTCTAAAAATACTATGAAGAGGCTGTTCTAGATACCACTTCTTAATCCCTTAGCTGATGATAGGGGTTTACGTTTTCCTAGTCAGGTCACTCTTGTAAGTCAGGTAAGAGCTGGTTCTACCTCCTACTACCTTAACATTCAGAAAGGGGGGGAGAAATCTAGTACTTTCCCATTTGAGATGAAGCAGCCACTAGGCCAGGGTGGCTCATAATAAACACTCTGCCAGTGCCAGATTGTGCTAAAGACAATGAAACAAAACAAATACACTTAATATTTTAAACACTACTTTCTGGAAGTAATCTACTCACACTTTCACAGTTTTCTCAATGTTTCTGATGCAGAAATCCAATGTGATCACAACTTCTGTTTTTTTGTGAACAGTTTCATTGTAATCATCTTTAACTAATTCACTGAAAGATAATGAGAGTCCCATTAGTTTATTTGAGGAATTGTGTTTTAGACTAAATATACCACTGTACTACTTCAAACACATTTCGTAACAGCATTCTTGATAAATTTAAAAGCCAAATCACACTTTTTAGGGTACTAATGAAAGGCATTTCTGTGCTGGGCAGGACTCTAGCCCTGCCTGCCACCCTCTTGTAGTGTACTCAATAAATTATTCTTCAAAACAGAACAAAACAAAACATTTCTGTGATTCTTACACAGCTAGCACACTTATATTTTCACAAACTATTACTGGTAATTTAGTTACGGTTTAGAAACCTAAGGCATTACAATTACATTAAGCAACATTAATCTAAAATCATACAACACTGTATTTTCTAGCAGAATTAAGTTTTGTGGGGCTGGAAAGGTGGCTCAGCAGTTAAGAGCACTGACTATTCTTGCAGAGGATCCCAGGTTACTCATATGGTCCCTAATAATTATCTTTAACTTCAGTCCCAAGGGACCCAGCACCTTCTTCTGGCTTCTGCAAGCATTGCATGACACGGATGCTCTTACATACATGCAGGCAATGCAGTCATCTGCATAAATTTTTTAAAGAAGTTTATTATTTATTATTTTTATTTTATGTGTATGCGTGTATTGCCTGCATGTATCCAAGTGCACCAGTGTTGTGCAATGCCTACGGAGGACAGAAGAGGCTGTCAGATCCCCTGGAACTAGAATTATGGACAGTTGTTAGTTGCCATGTGGATGCTAGGATTCGAATCTGGGTCTTCTACAAGAACAGCCCATGTTTTTAACTGCTGAGCCATCTCTTCAGCCCAAAAATTTTTTTTAAAAAATTAATTTTTGCTGCTTATAGTAATATGCTGTCTGATTATACCCAAACTACCTAACGTGGCATCTGAAAGACAGACAATACAGTGAGTCCTATACAACCAAAGGGCTTTTGAACTATACCAGGGATTAGCAAACTAGTCTAAAGACTGCTTTCTATGGCCTATGAATTCCTTTTTGAAAAATTACAAAATGAAAGTAAAACAAAGAAGAGCTCACAGGCAGCCAGTAAAGCCTAATATACTGGGCGATCCTTTAAAAGAAAAAGAAAAATCTGATAACAATGGGCTACATGAGAAAGAATTTTTTCACATTGGGGCTAGAGTCACGCTTGGATATTAGCTATTGCTTTAGTGTGCTAGAGTCCTTGAAGAATAACTGCTGACCTTATTCACTGATGTGGGCCTCATGGCACAGTCACTAGATTAGTGACATAAAAAAAAAGTATTATTTCATGACTTACTATAAACTAGTAAGTAAAAAAACATCAAGAGAAAACAATGCTGTTAGGCATTTAGATTTCTTCTAGAAACTGTTAAAACAAGGAGGCCTCTCTTTTTGGGGTGAGTGCTGGGGACTGAACCCACGGTCTTGCACATACCAAGAACAAGCTCTACCACTGAGCCACACTCCCAGCAAAAGCTTCTGAATAGAAATAGAAAAAAAAACAGCTTAGAAATGGAGTACATGAATACACTGAAAATTATTATAAACACAAATTTGTAGGTTTGACCTAACACTAGCAACAGTGAAGACGCCTAAAAAATTAAGAGCTGGGTGTGGTAGGACAATGCTTATAATCCCAGAACTGGGCAGGTGGAGGGAGGTAGATTATGAGTTTGAGGCCAGCCTGAGCTACACAATGAAACCCTGTCTCAAAAACCAAGAGATAAGAGCAGGAATGCTAAAACAGTTCATACACATTTGTGCAAGAATGGATGAGTGAGAACATACATGAACTGTCACAAGCATTAAAGGCCAAGCGAGTGCAGTGAGCTGAGCCCAGAAAGTATGCTCCATAGTGTCTTTTGGCTTCAAGGCCATTTCTGTATGTGTACAGAATTCAAAAATCAACAAAAGATGTGTAGAACAGCACGCAGAATGCTTGAAGATCTGCTTACTTTCTAGTCTCATCAGATGAAAACATGAAACATGAAAGATCAAAACCATAAACACATTACATTTCTTGTGAGTATGACTGCCCTGTGGAGGCCAGGGGTCAGTCACTTATTTTTTCAGACAGGGTATCTCACTGGGACCCAGGACTTGTAGATTAGGTTAGGCTGGCTAGCCAGCAAGCCCCAGCAATCTGCCTATCTGGGCCTCCTGAGTGCTGGGATCACAAGCCTGTGCCACCATGCCCGTTTTGTTTTTATTTATTTTATATGTATGAGTGTTCTGCCTGCATATATGAAGTACAGCCATGTGTGCAATGCTTGTGGACCCAAAGAGGGCACTAGATTCCCTGGAATTGGGAGTTACAGACAGTTCTTGGCCCAAATGTGGGTGCTGGGAACTGAACTCAGGTCCTCTGCGAGAGGAGCAAATGTTCTTAACCACTGAAGCCATTTCTCTAGCCCCTGCTTTTGTTTTGTTTTGAATGTGGGTTCTGGGGATTGGATGCAAGTCTTCACCCTTGCAAGCTAAGCACTTTACTAACTCAGCTATCTCCCCAGCCCAGTACCTTAACATTTTTTTTAAGTGAAAGGGACCTGACAGAGTCCCTGAGGAATACTAAAGATGGCGCACTTCTTGCTTCTTCTTGGTCTCTGGCAGGAAGGCCTTATTTTCCATTTCAACAGGGCCCCTTCAACTGACCTGCTTAGAGTCCTGTAGGCCTATACACCTCATCATTTGGAGTCATAAGTCTATCAGCACCCACTTCTTTAAGTTGACCAATCAAAAATGAGGGGAGGGGAAACCACTGAGACCCTTAAAACCCATTCTCTCCCTGGGAGATGTTGGATTTCAGTTTCTGGGTCCCCTCTCCACTTGTGGAGACCTTCAACCTTCTGTATGGGCATGTGTATGTATGTGTGATTCTTTATGTATATAACTGTTGCTCTCTATTTGTCTGAGATTTCATTCTGCTTTTTAAGTCTTTAATTGGCTGAAAAAACGAACCCAACTATACCCCCTTAGGTAACGATGCCAAACCCACAACATTAAGGTTATTTTCAGGAAGAAAATACTTACCTAGATCAATTTTCTGTTTTAGAATAACAATATTAAATGATTTAGTAAAAAAAAAAAGGTTTTAGGCTTCTTGTCAAGGTGAGTGTATATACTCCTATGTACATTTCCAATATGTGAAATATCTAAAATAGGTAAATCTGTGGAGACAAAACTATTAGTGGTGTCTAAGGCTAGGTGGTCTGAGGAAAAGTGACAAGTGAAAGTTAATAGATGCAGAATTTCTTTTGGGGGAGAGGAAAGTGGTCAAGACTTGGAAGTGATGGCTGCACCACTCTATGACAGTACTGATCTTAAAACCGATGCGTGATACAGTATATGAATTATAGCTCAATAATGTTGTTAAAAAAGAAGGGGGGGTCTGTACTTGATTTGAGTAAAAGGTAGGTAGTGGACTTAACCCCCAGAAAACAAAATGCTTTAGATTATGAAGATGCTAAACCCTTCCAAGAGAGCAAACGCAAACCAGTCAAGGTCTTTGGAAGAGGAATTCTCCTTTTACAGAGCTGTGCAAGAGTGAGACTTCAGATTCTGTCGGTCCTGTCCTACTGCATTATGGTGGAAATAAATGAAGATAATGCCAAATGTTCTGCAAACCAAATGTGAGGCAAATTCAGTGGAGGAGTTAAGCAGAGGCCCTAACTGTCTCAAGTGGTGGAATGTCAGGACGAGGTGCCTGCCAACTGGTCAGTGAGGGCTGTGAGAAGAGCAATTTTCAAATTCAGTCCATTACTTACATCAACCACCGTATCCCCTTTCGCATTAGCTCCTGATAAAGCAGCAAGGTACTGGCAATTCTACAGGCATAACACACAACCCCTGTCACTGCCTGATGAAAAAGACATGTTAGTATTTGGTGCCAATTGTGGTACAGATAAGAGAAACTTTTACACAAAAAAACTCTTCAGTGTTTCATATTGTTATCAGGTAAATTTAAAACACAATAAACTACCAGTACCTAAAAGTCAGATGAGACTGTAATAAACATTCTAATTCTTAACTTTATCTAAACACAAACTATTTCAATGGAGGGAATTTCCTTTTAATGAGTTCAAGAAAGGAAATTAAAAAGAATGTAACCTGGAAAGGATAACACTTTACGTAAATAATTTCCTAAGTCATATATGCAGCTATAGAGACATGATGCATTTATTATTTTTACTGCTGATAATTTGTACTCAAGTTTTAAGTAGCAATTCAATAGATACTGACCTTGGCCATGCTAGCATCACCATCTAAATCATAACGTGGATGTACTTTAGGTAGGGAAACTGAAATATCAAGTAAAAGATGTAAAATCAGAATTAAAAATTTTTGGATAAACGATTTTATCCTTTATATAGAAAGCAGAATGCCTAAATTAAACATAAGTAGGAAAACTCTTTAAGGTACTTTTCCTAGTTTAAAAAAAAAAGGGCTGAGGAGATGGCTCAGTGGGTAAGAGAACCTGATGTACAAGCATGGGATCCAACACCCATGTAAAATGCCGGAAGTGCTATTTGTGTTTGTAGTCCCAGCACTGAGGTGGGTGGAGACTGGCAGATCCCAAGCCTGCTGGCTAGGCGGCCTAGCTGGAAAAAACAAGGGGTCCACATTCAGTGAGACACTTTGGATAAGGCAGAGAAGACAGAGCAGGACACCCCACATGCACCTGAGGCCTTCTCCCATGCAGATGCACACCTACACACAATGCAGCCCGCCATATCTACCTAAAACAACAATGCTCCTTCCCTAACTAATCACCTCCAATATTCGTAAGGTGTTTCACTTTTTTCCTTTTTAAAAAATTATTTATAGCCAGGCGGACGACACATGCCTTTAATTCCAGCACTTAGGAGGCAGTGGCAGGTGAGTTTGAGGCTGAATTGTTCTACATAGTGAGTTCCAGGCCAGCTGGGGGCTATAGGGAGACAGTGTCTCAAAAAGACTAAAAAAATTATTTATTTTGTAAAAATTATTTATTTTTGTGTGTTGTATGTGTGTACGCATGTGTGTTTGATGTATGTCTGTGGTCACCTGAGTGTTACAGTGAACGTGTAGAAGCCAGAAAACAATTCTGTGGAGTTGGTTCTCTCCTTCCACCTTTTCATGGGTTCTGGAGATTGACCTAGGTCACCAGGCTTCTACGGCAAGCACTTTATCTACTGAGCCATCTGGCCAGCCTCGTTTTGTTAAATATATTCCAACACAGAACTTAGCAATTGTCCTTAAATCTAAATCAAATACTCAATTCTCAAAATGAATGCAAAAACCCGATAAATTATTTTTTTATTAACCAGTGGACAATTTAAACAATTCCAAAGATGTAGATCTAGTTTTTCTTAAACTCTAAAAGTCTGGCATAATATCCTATAAAATAAGCATTTGCTGAAATTTATGATTGATAGAAACATTTTGAATTTTATCAAAACACTAAAAGTAGTCAAAATATTTGAAAATTAGCTTACGAGGCTTTTCAATTGTAGTAGTTTTTATAAACTAAAATTATAATATTTATGAAAGTTTTACATTAATATCAACATCAACTTTAAAAACAACAAAATCTCAGCTTACTTTTTTCATATATTAACCCTATGGTACTCGGGGATTCCCGGCTTATGACAAAGATAGGATTTTCCTCTGTGGTTTTAGGGAAATGCTGTGCCAGTCTTCCAAGTTCTAGAACTAGGCGTCGTCCTTCATATATAAGCTCTTGATTTGAAGAAATAATCTTGGTTTGTTTATACACCAGTTCATGGAACACAGCAGCACTACATGAGGAAAGTTTAAGAATGTTATTTTGGATAAAAAGAGAGGCAAAATCTTGTTTCTAGATGTTGAGTTCAATAAGTCATTTTTTTTCATGATTACTCAGTTTTGATGGAAGGCAAAATAATTTTTATGTCCATAGACTGAATAAACATAAAAATATTTTAACAAAATACTGTCAAATCAGCTTGAATATTTTCATAACCAGCTTTTGAAATAAGTACTAAGAATTGTATGATGCAAATGACCACTGTGATTTGCCCATGCCTGGGAAATGGGAAGTTTTTGGTCAGGCTTGTGTTTGAAGCTGCTACACAGCAGGATTTGGCTACTCTGTGTTAATTTATACACGTAATACCTTTCATAAGGAAAAAGCAGATCTATCATGATGAAATCAAGCTTCAAACAATCAGAGGTCTACAGGAAGCTTATCTTAAATATTTTAAAATTCTGTATGATATAACCTTTGAAGACTACTGCTCTTCTTATGGTCTAAGTCTTACAACTGAATTACCCTCACAACTAGTAAGTGTGAATCATGTCAAGGCCTTGAGGGGAGGGACACTCTGAAAGCATGGCACAGCAATTATTTTCCTGGTAGTCAAACATCTCCAACTATTACTAAACTGTATTCAAAAAGTTCTCTATCTTAATATAGACAATGCATAAAATAAATGAAAGGAGGAAGCAGAGGACCATTTTCAGGTATCTAATGTAAACAACCAACTTTCCCTCAGAGCAGCAGCTCACTTCACCCTAGGTGAAACAGGAAAGGCTGGCAGATCAGAATTTTCACTTCTAAATAGAAACAGCAACCATCACATTTTCCCAAACTACAACTCATTTACTTTGACTGTAATAAATGCAAACACAAACTGTATCTCAGAAATTTGTGTTTGTACTGGTACTTTACAATGTGACATAAATTCCTCTAACAATTGAGACAAGCACTCTTTTGTAGCAATTCCATAAAATAATTTCCAATTTGCAAAATACTCCTACTAGTAAAACCAGCAACCCTTATGGAGGGTACAGGGTAATAATAAGGCCTCTCTGAAGTATAAATGCAGCTATATTTGCACTGAGTAGTTTATAAGCATGCCAATACTCTGAATGTTTGCATAAAACTGGGAGTGATGTCATCCTAACTGACTAAAAACTTACTTTTTTGCATATTATTTTATAATGGAGACTAATTTTAAGAGAAAATATGCCCAGTAATACAGCCAGCAAAATTCAGAATTCCTAAATCAATGCAAATAGTTATTAACATTTAAAAAATGTTTAACACTGCATACTAATTAAAAAAATGAACAGGAAAAACACGTATTTTAAATTCAGTGGGATACTATGAAAAGCATGCTATACATAAATGTGAAATCAGTCAAGCTTTTCCAAAAGATGATATTCTTTTAATCCCTTAGCAAGTCTCTATGAAACATTAGGCATACAGTAAGCAAAAAGTACAGTGGTGGCAGTAGCCATTACTGTTAAGTGATTTCTAAGATCATGAGCAATTCCTAGAAACACTGCTTTGCTACTATGGATACCAAAAAGTTTACTATGGAAATTTCATATAGCCTGACTCTATAGTAACCAATTATATATCTTTATATATAGATATCTGTGTATAATACAGTGCTTCTTAATGTTTAAAAGTGGTGGTGGGTGGGGACACACAGACTGCTAGCAGATAGCTGAGTCAGATACCTGAGTTCAAATCCCAGGTCTCCCACTGCTTGCAGTATAACCTAAAAGAACTTAACTCCTCTATGCTTAGTTTCCTCACTGGCAAATAGGAGTCATATGGTGATTAGCTCACAGAATTAACTGTTGAAGATAAAATGACTATAAAACCTTTGTTAAATATATTAAGAAATCCAAGTTGGGATTAGAGAGATGGCTCAGGGGTTAAGTACACTGGCTGCTCTTGAGAGGACCCCGGTTCAGTTTCTTACACCCACATGGTGGCTAACAATAATCTGTAATTCCAGTTTCAGGGGATTCAAGGCTGTCTTCTGGCCTCCACAGGCACAGCACACATGTGGTACACTTATAAACATGTAGGCAAAACACTCACATAAAATAAAGTTAAAAAAATATATTTAAAAATTATAAAAAAAACAAGATTTTTAAAATTAAGAGTTGATGTAAAATAAAGAAAATAAAAGGCTGGAGAGAGAGATGGCTCAGTGGTTGAGAGCACTGGCTGCTCTTTCAGAGGGCCTGGATTTGGTTCCCAGCACCTATATGGTGGCTAACAACCACATGTAACTCCAGTTCCAGGGGATCTGACACCTCTTCTGGTCTCTACTGACACAGGTGCACTTATATACATGCAGGCAAAACAGTCATATACAGAAAAAATAAATCTTTAAAACTTTTCTTATGAAAATTAAATATTTTATCTAAAAAAATTTTCTTTTTTTTTTTTTTTTTGGTGCTTGGGGTTGGAGTCAGAGCCTCACACATGCCAAGTAGACATTCTACCACTGAGGTATACTTCAACTCCTGTCCTTTTCATAAATTATTCGAGGCATCAAAACTGTCATTTGGATTTTACCAAGACAGACTAAGTCACAATAATGGGTCTCTTTTTTTCTTTATTTGTTATTATTTGTTTTTGAGACCAGGTCTCACTATGTACCCCTGGCTGGCTGGAACTTTATGTATATACCAGGCTAGCCTTGAACTTGATCCTCTTGCCTCTGTCTTCCAAGTACTGGGATTACAAAATCAGATGGCGAGATGGCTCAGCGGTTAAGAGTACTGGCTGCTCTTGCAGAGGACCCAGGTTCAGTTCCCAGAACCCACATGGCAGCTAACAACTGTTTGTAACTCCAGTTCCAGGGGATCTGATGCCCTCTTCTGTCCTCTGCAAGGGACATGCACTTACATACATGCAGGCAATATACTCATACACATAAAACAAACAAAACCTGCTTCATCAGTCTCAGCTTCTTCTACTTTGAGATCACTGGTTTCACATGCAATCATAAAAAAACGTGGTAAGATGCCTACAACTTTCATTCATGTTCCCCTCATTTTGCAACATAGTAAAATATTACCACTAAGGATATTCAGTTTGATACAATCCACCTAACTTACAGTTCCCCAGTTTTATGTACAAGTGTATGTATTTAGTTATATGTAGTCTTATGGCATGGATTAAAAAAAAAATCACACGATTGTATTTCATTTATGTAAAAAAAATGTTGACTATTTCTCCACCATCCTTGAAGTGTTTTATGCTAACTATGCAAACAAAACTACAAACACACACACACTTAATTTTGAGACAGGGTCTCTTTCTAGCCTCAGCTGGTCTGAACCTTGATATGTAGACCAGGCTGGCCTTGATCTCGCAGAGATACACCTGCCTCTGTCTCCCAAGTGTTAGGATTAAAGGCATGGAACACCAATTCTGGCAAAACTACACTATATTTAAGATGAAAACTACACTATATTCAAGACTTAGGGTTTTAAGCTGGGCTTGGTGGTGCATGCCTTTAGTCCCAACCCTCAGGAGGCAGAGCTAGGTCAATCTCTGTGAGACTGAGGTCAGCCTGGTCTACATAGCAAGTCCCAGGCCAGCAGAGGCTGTAGGAAGACCCTACCTCAACAAAACAGAAACTCAGGCTTTGAGATTTTTAAAACAGGATAATACTCTTAGTAAAATCCGGATCACTTTTACCAGTACATGGTATTTGAAGAAAGTTATAGAATTAGCTTTATAAAATTTGTAGTTTAAGTACAAACTATCTATACATTTAAGAAACTAATCTTTTTTTATTTCAGGTAAGTGAGTAGGAGTCTACTAAGTACTAAAACTTGGTTTTCCTAGTGAGAAATGGGTGCTGCTGCTGAAGATAAGTCATCTTTTCTATTTTCTCTCCTAATTTAAGAAAATTTTTATTACACATTATAACATGTATAGATTCAAGAAGAAAGCATGAAGAGGTACTTACGTATTATAGCTATGAATATAAATCTTATGAGCTGTCATTTGTTGTAGCGAAAAAACATGGATTATCATTCGGTGTAGTATATCACTAGTTTCCGCAAAAAACTGGTCAAAACCCCAACACTTTTCTTGATCTGCTTCAAGGATGTTTGCAAGAACTGGGGTAAGTAGAACTTGAAGACCCCTAAAACAGTATTTTAAAAAAGTAACTTTTTTTTTTTACTATATGATATCATAGTACAAAGTCATAATATCTAACAACAAATCAAAGGGATTGCTACTATTATTACAGGTTGCACATCCTTTATCTAAAATGCTTGGAACCAGAGTGCTTGAGCTTTAGAATTTTTTTCAAAAATCCTGGAATATTTGTACATATGAGATATCATGCGGCTGGGACTCAGGTCTAAACAGGAAATGCATTTACTTTCACATATTCATAAGACACAAGGCCTGAAGGAAATTCTACAGTTTTTTCAGTGAATCTGCATTTTGGTTGCAGTGTGGAACTGTCTGTTAGTGATGTCAATGCTCAACAAGTTATAAGCTTTGCTGCATTTTGGATTTTGAATGCTCAAAAATTGCATTATTAGATTTTCCTTTTTTGAAATGAAAACTTCCCAAGTTTCCAAAAGGCCAGGTAACCTTCATTTCATTTCACATGCCAATGAGTTAAGGATTACAGCATCTTAACTTACCTATTATTCATTATTGAATTTGAGTTTTCTCCTTGGCAAGTTCCCTCACTTTTCCAAACACATCATGTATATACACGGTTATTCTGGTGAGATCAACTAATTAGAAGCAGATGCTCATGAAGATAAAATAATGGTTTAGCTTCCAGGAAAGGGTCTTGAAGTCCTTGTAATATGGTGCTCTAATATGTACTTTTACATGTAGGCCTTTTCAGTGTATTTTTTTGCGGGGGGCGGGTGATTGCTATGATAATCTAGCAATCAATTAGTGCCAATTCAACAAGGAAAAATCTCTGAATAAAAATCCCATATATTTTTAAAAGATTCAAGATCTTAATTTTTTCCCATGCTTTTACCTATTACATGTTCAAATAGATCCCAAATTGTGGCATTTCAAATAGCTGCTAAAATTTACATCTAGCAATATGACCCATACTAAAATAATCTCTGGTCTGTTAGTTTTTAAAGTACATGGTAGACATTTACGTATTTGCCAAATGGGTGTCTGTCCATTCTCCCTCGTTTTGCAGTACTCCACACCTCTCTCTGATGTTATTTCATGTAGAATGGTTAAGGGAAGTTTGTGAGCTGGTAGCATAAGCTAGTTGATGAGAATGAATCTAGCGATGTTTTCTAAGCAGACGAGAAAGCACATTTCCTTCCTACCAAGTGTTCAAATTAGGAAAGTGTTGGTCTGGGATGCCAGCACAACAGCAGCTGTCAGTGGCTGCTAGGAAGCAGCCAGGCTTCAAGTGAAGAAAAATTAGAGGAAAGCAGATCTGAATAATAGAAAGAGACCAAATCTTGACAACACAATCTGAGGTCAAAATTCAGCTAAGCTCTAAGTTGTATATTCACAGAAACTTTGCATTACCAAGTCAACCTATTTCTTTTTTCATTTAAATCAGTTAGGTTAGATTTTTCCTCTCTTTGTTATCCAGTCTTGACTAATAATATAAGAGAAAGGATGATTATCTCTTCTTTTTCAACTCATTATATTTTCAGTTAATTGTCTTCATTGGACATCTGTAGAATTTAAAATCTTTACTATTTAACACAAACAAAAATGACAAAAAATACTTTTTGATGTCTAAGTAATTTTTATTAAGGACTTTGTATGCTAAAAGGGGTTAGATAGATTAAGGTTTATTGTCCTCCAGAAAGAAGCAATCTATATGTAGTTCAGACTATCAGAGTACTGACTTGGTAACATAATAATTAATCAGCACACCTTCCCTGCCTGAGTCATTTATATTCTATTAGATTCCCTGGGGTCCCCCAAATTTAGTATTTTCTAAGTCACAATGTAATACTAATTGCTATAATGGTAAATATATGCTCTCCAACACAATGCCATTTCTTTTGGTAAATCTAGTTACATGACAGAACTTTACTTTAGAAAATGTTTGCCCAAAAAAAGAAAATGTTTTTCAAAAGAGTGAAAAATGAAGCTGTTAGGAGTACGTTGTTGTTAGGGAGGGGTTAAGACAGGGTCTCACTCTGTAGTTCAGACTGTCCTGGAACTCCCTGTAGCCCAGGCTGGCCTCGAACCCATGATGATCTTCCTGTCTCCACCTCCCAAGTGCTGGGAATACAGGTGTGAGCCGCCATGTCCTGCTCCTCTTTGTGTTCCAAGTCAGATCTCACTACTGTGTAGCCCTAGCTGTGCTGGAACTCTCTATGTAGACCAGGCTGGCCTTGAACTTGTGACCCCTTTGCTTCTGCTTCCTGAGGGCTGAGAATACAGGTGTGTGCTACTTTAAATTTCTTTTACATTAACCCTTATGATAATCTGACCATATAATTTTTGAGTTCTGGTTGCTAAATTAAATAACACCCCATAAGCTTTTAAAATGCTGGGAAAAGTACTAGGAAATGCTTCTTTCTCATCCCTTGAATGACTTGAATTCTTTAAAATAAGGAGAATATTAAACTTGGTGTGCTTGTTTTTTTTTTGTTTTTTTTTTTTTTACAAGTCCAGCTGAAAAACTTATAGCTATACCACTATATGTTGTCCATCAGTATGAAAGATACCAAAATAAAGTCCTTAGTAATATTCTTAGTCCTACACTGAGAAAAATTTCAAGACTAGAGATAACCAATCTTAAAAATACATCCTAAGGAAATTATCTGCATAGCTCAAAATAAATGTTCACATAATCCAAAAACCACAAAAAAACATATAATAAAAGTGAAACTACTTATAAAGCCAGGTGTGGTGGTGCATGTCTGTCATCTCAGCACATGGAAGTGAATAGAGGAAGACTGTGAGTCTGAGTTACACATGGAGTTCAAGGCCAGCCTCGGCTACATAGCACAACCTTGCTTCAAAAACCAAAAACAACAGAAACAACAAATAAAACCAACAATAGCCACCCCACAACCACACTTAAATGTCTGAGTATGTGCGAGATTTTTAGGCAACAGAAATTTTAAACACAAAAATGCAAAAGGCAAGAATTAAGTACACAATACTTACCGAGAAAGACTACAAGAAATAGGCATGTCTCTACTCCAGTCAATTGGTCCATTTTCTGCTTTCTGTACTCCAGATATTGCACCAGAAGGCTTTCCAGTAATTATTTTATACCTTGGAAGGAAGAAAAGCAGAATAAATTAAGCAGTTCATTATTAATGGCATATTAATGGACTTCACAAAAGTATTTCCTCAGTTGCACCTACAATTATCTACTAGACGAAACTTTGTGATTGATGGTCACAGAATCCACAAAATAATCAAAATACTTTGACTCTGACTGACTGAAGTAGAATAGTGGTTGTATTTTATATATGCCATAATTAATTTTCATTTGGGATCCCAGAGTGATATTAACAGCATCTTGATGTTCACAACAAAAATATTAATTTTTCCATCTGAAAAAATGGAGCAAACACAAAAAAAAGTTATGTCACAGAGTATCTCTAGACTATAAAAAAGCATCTAATTCTTTTTACCCACATTATCCAAAGGCACAGTCAATTGGACTATAAAATTACTGTAGAATGAACTATAGAATTCATTAAAAAGGGAGATATACAGCACAATATCAGAAACATCCTTTGCATATTCAAAAAATATACACATATAGGAGCAGATGTTTTAAAATTATAGTCAATAGGATTCCCGATGAGGACCATACAAAGGATGAACTGAAGCTAAAGATGGATGGGGAAGCCAAGAACAACTCAGTGATGGAGCACGTCAACGAGGGCTGTGCTTTAGGTTTTAGAACGCGTCTACACAAAACCCTAAATAGCAAATATGAGAACTTCGTGCCTTTAAGAATACCTGGCAGGCGGATCCCTGTGAGTTCAAGGCCAGCCTGCTCTACATAGTGAGTTCCAGGGCAGCTGGGGCTACAGGGAGACCCTGTCTCAAAAAGACCAAAAAAAAAAAAAAAAAAAAGAATACCTTTACCTGCATGAAAATGTACAACACAGTAGAGTGAAATTTTACATAAGCCTATGGATATTACTTCTGTCCAATATCTTCAGTTTAGAGTCTAAATAAATATGCTCAGAACAAGTCAATTTATTTTTAAAAATAGACCCAACTTAGTGAGACAGGTTTAGACTTTGCTGCTTCCTCAGGAGAGGCAGTCATTAACTTCTGCCTTAAGAGATTTTTCAAAGGAAATTACTGTGGAAAATAAGGGGTACTCATATGTGAAGGATATGACTACGGAGGAACAAATGGAGATTTATGTGGGATTAACGTGAATGAGAAATGAGCAGAATGAATGACAGCACTGCTATCCAAATTCTTCACAAGTTTAATTTGGTTAAGATTTCCTCCGAAGCCTTTACCACACACAAACGAGATGGAGGAGCAGCACTGCTGTAATGGGGAGAATGCATTATTCACAGTAGGAACAGCTATTAATAAAGGCTGAGCATCTCCAAACATTTGTTACTATCAGTGTTCATAAAAAGGTGAGTTTCTATGCAAATAAACAAGTCCCAGTAATGAGTAACTGCCCACAGAGATCAGGCAGTCATCAGGTTGCTTGTGAGTCATGTTTCCTTTCTTAGAAGCACCACACTTTCATTTAATCCATTTTTAGATCAGCAAGAGACGCTGATACTGTTTAAAAATGTATCTATAAAAATAAAAGTGCAACAACTGTCAGGTACAATCTATGTTTAATGAGAAAACAAGTCTCAGCCTTTGTTAACAAAGGGGTTTTTAAAAAAAGGGCACTGCTGTAAAACAGGCTCAGGGTGATCCTGTAACAAAACCTTCAGTACAATTAGTGGAGTCTTCCCCCATGCACACAGTTTCTGCTAGCAAGCATGGAAATATTCAAGTTTTAGCAAATGTCATTGTGCTATCTGATCTGTTTTACTTCCTCAAATCAACAAAAGGAGAAATATACTTTTTCCTCAATTTTCTGAGATGAAATAAAAGATTAGAATTTTACAGTTTTGACGACTTTAAGTCACACACACTTGGGTCAGCTGGGCGTGGTGCTTCATGCCAATAATCCCTGCACTCAGAAAGCTAAGGTAGGAGGACTGAGGCCAGCCAGACTACACAGCAAACCCTATGCCCCCAAAAGACACAGTGACTTCTATGACAGTCTGAAATGTGCTGAGACCTAAAAGAGTGACTGGTGGGTTGGGCTGTTAGAAAATTACTGGTCCAAACATTCCCAAAGGAAATATTCCTTGACCTTTCTGGGGTCTGCTATTCATGACTCGTTCTCTAGCAATATGACAGCATGTAAATGCACACTATATTAGCAAAATGCATTATCTCTGGTCAGAACCTGCAATACTAGGAAAAAAAATTACTGCCAAAATATAACTTTGAAAATGAGAAATCAGTGAAGGTAAGAATTAGATTTCTTTGGTTCTGTTTCTCCACAGAATTGTATTGGTTTTTTTTTTTTTTCAGCTACATGAAGGAAAAATGACAAGCACACAAAATGAAATAAAGAAACCAACAGGGTGCTGAAGTAAAATTCAGAAAGCAGTATACATGCAGCAACAAACCCAAGACAAGATGCTGTTTCTACTTTGCATATAGAACATTTAGACATGACAGGTGAAACTATGCCTACACATTCTTACAAGGCTGCATTCTTAGTCAAATCCAGATCGCTTAAAATAGCAGAAAAAGCCAATCTTCATTAGTGTCTACCTCAAACACATGGAGAAATAAGGTAAAATACACATTTAAAAGTTATTTCTAATTTTAGATGGAGAAATCACTTACATCACTTCTTTATTCCTACGAGGTCCTTCAAACGGTCTAAACGGCAGTGATCCAGTAGCTGCATGGTAAAATGTTACCCCGATACTCCACAGATCAACTGTTGCTCCATATTTCTTCTGATGATCTTTTCTTAGCACTGCTCTCTCATACATATCAGGATGCTAAAAATGGAGGTGGGGGGTGAAGTATGAAAAAAACTGAACTTATGACTTCAAATGTTACTAAAAGAACCCTGAGTACTCAATAATACATAGAAGTTTTATCATATTTCCTAATAATTTCACTTTTCCATTTTCAAAAGACTATTTTGGGCTGGGAAGATGGCTCAGTGGGTAAAGTGCTTGCGATGCAAGGATGAGGAGCTGAGTTAAGATCTCTAGCACCTACCATGTAAAAGACTGGCTGTGGCAGTGTATGCCTGTAATTCCACAGCTCGGATGTGGAGACAGGAGGATTCTGGGCTTGTGGGCCAGAAAGCCTAGCCAATCAAGTGAGCTCCCAGTTCAGTGAGCAACTATTTCAAAAATAATGTGAAGAGCAAAAGATGAAGACACTCAACCTTGGGTGCAATCCCTGCAGCCCTCATGGGAAAAAAGACTATATCTTCCCCTGTATCTTAAACCTCCAAAACCATTTCCTTTGTTTGACTCTAAAATTTCATGACTTCATGCCATACTTCAATGGGGAAATCAAAGCAACCATACCAACTCTCTTTTAGGCCCTTTACCAAACACCACCCTACTGATTCTGTGTCTCTTTGTCAGGCCTATTTTCCAGTTACAAGGAAACTGCTCCTATCCAAGGCCAACTTTGCATCTGTACTAGCCCATCACATGGTCTCACCAATTCCAGAAATCGATTCTTACTACTATCCCTTTTCCTTTATATGTCAGTATTCCCCCTTTCTACTGGAACATTCCTCTTCACTTACAAACAAGTTTTAACATCTCCCATTTAAAAAACAATAAACAGCTGGGTGTGGTGGCACAGGCCTTTAATCCCAGCACTCAGGAGGCAGAGGCAAGTGGATCTCTGTGAGTTTGAGGCCAGACTGGTCTACATAGTGAGTTCTAAGCCAGCTGGGACTACAGGGAGAACCTGTCTCAAAAAGACCAAAAAAGACCCCCCCCCAAAAAAACCCAACCAAACAAAAAGCAAACAAAAAACCAACCACACACAAAAAACAAATAAATAACAACATAAAATACCAGACATGTTGGTATGTGCTCATAACCCCAGAACTGGGAAGGAGAAACGGGGGGATCTGAGGGACTCACTAGCAAAAGAGCCTATGCTAACTGGTGAGCTCCAGGCCTGTCTCAAGGAGGTAGAGGATACATGAAGATGAAAATATACCAGAGGTTGTTGTCTGGCCTCCACGCACCCCCACTCACCCATACATACATATAAATGTGTGCACACTGGTACTCACTCATATATATATATATA